CACAATTTCATACTAAATTTAAAAACTATAATTAGTATTTATTCATATATTATATTTTAAAATCAAAGAACTACTAATCAGGATATAATTAAAGAAATAAGAGTTCATGTTGCTTTTAAAATATTTCACCAATTTCTCTAAAGGAAACACTATCTACAGATTTGCATCGAAGCGTTTCTTATGATAGTGATTTTAATCACTGTCAGATATCATCTATACTTATCTCATCTATGCCACGTCTATACTGTGCCTCGACCCCACTGTGCTACCGTTTTTTTAATTTGTATTTTTCAAAATGTATACAATAACACATACCTTATATTAAATGATTATTATTGATTAATTGCTTATGTTATTTTTTACCTTCGATGCAAATCTGAATAGGTATTACTATGATGTGTTTTTTTTATATCTGTTGCCACTTTTTCTCAGCTCTCATCGAACAGATTTCTTTCAATGAATACGTCAAAAGATCACAAATCATATCTAGTTGAAGACATTGCCNAACAGATTTCTTTCAATGAATACGTCAAAAGATCACAAATCATATCTAGTTGAAGACATTGCCCTAAAAAATTGTAAAAATACCCTTGTTTTCTTTAAATGGGAGAAATCTCCAAAAAAATACAAATTTTAAAAGTTGGTAAATGTTGACTTTTTTCTTTTTTTGTCTTAAAACTGCAGTAACTTTTTCAAAAATGAACAAATGAACAAAAAATTTTTTATATTAAACTTTAGCTTTCATTTTATATAAATCTTTTAAAAACCTAACTATTTACCTGTCCATAGTGAGGGAATCAAAATAGCAACTTTTTTATAAAAGTCAATTTTTTTAACTTAACTTTTAAAAATGTTCCGGAAATACTGTGTCCTTTTTATGTATGTTCGATTAAAAGTTATATTATGTAATATAAGTTTAAAAAAATAAGATTTCCCGACATCTTATCTTCTATATGCAAATGGCTTCTGCATTTGAAAAAAAAAAATGTAATTTTATGTAAAAATCACCTTCTATTGATAAGTTATTTTATGGTACTTAGAGCTGCTCTAACTTTTTGATAAATGAATGTACCAAAATAATTTTTATTTCTGAATACTTTATATATACCCACACTTATTTTTTTACAAATGACCGTCGAAGATGACAAATTTATTAAATATTTATTCATATATTACACTTATATATCATAAAACTTGTAATCAGGATATCAATAAGGAAATAAGAGTTAATTTTGACATTGGTGGAATAATCCACCAATGTCTTAAAATTAAACGCTATCTATCTACAAAGTAGAGTCGAAGCGTTTCTTATGATAGCGATTTTAATCACTGTGAGATATCATCTATTTTTTTTTTTTTTAATATAGTTTATTTATTTGTTATTTCTAAACATTTTATTTTTGTAGTTTATTCTTTGTCAAATCTCTCAAAACTGATGATTTATCAAAATATAAAATCGTTTTTCTCCTAGTACATCTAATATCCAAGATAAAATGTTACTTGAGTGTGACACAATAAAAATTGAAAGAGCTAGAAAAGAGTGACAGTGATTGTGTCCACATACTAAGTATGTGGACACAAGTAGTTTTATATGCAATTTCAATCGATCCTCGGGATTCTAAATTATTGACTGATATAGCAGGCGAATCGAAAGTTGATCGACTTCCGGTAATCCTTACAGCGCCAAATGTTGAATAATTGCTTGGTGTTCTATAGCATGATACAAGTATAAGGTCTTAAATAACTTCAGTTATATATGATACATTAGAGAAATGAGTTTTAATAGAAAAATTGGTATCTTTTATTTTTGAAACATCTAAATATTTTTTAGATAATTGAAAATTACAAAAAAATAGTTTCTGGGATTTGCTAAGAATACTTTCAAAAAATCATATAATTGAACAACATTATAAACCAATCATTTATTTTGGTTACAATAATGCCCTGTTTTTCATAAGGTTATTACAATAATTATTATCATATATTTAAGAAATACGTATATAGAGTGTATGAAAATAAGTTAAATGTCATAAACAATAAAAACCCTTTTCCTTACATACTGAAAACCTTAAATTTCTCTCTTAAAAAATATTTTGATAAATAGAATTTTTCTCGAAAATATAATTTTGAACAAAATTTGTATTGAAAATTTTGTTGCAATGAATATGTTGTAAAACAATAATGATGGGTAAAATGAAAATTAATTTAATTATTAATTTGATTGTAAAATAATAAATTTAGGTGAAATTTTATAGTAACCCTTTTTTATAGAAAACAATATTATCAATAAATTTAATATTAAACATTTTTATCATAAGTAAAATAGTTTTCGAGATAATCGGAAAAAACTGAAAAATTACCCCATATATCAAATGTTCAACCCTTTTGTGACATGTGTTAAGGTCGATTCACACTATACGGAACGTCAACGTCACGTCACCGATCGGCAGCGCACGTCAAAATATCTAATCATGTATTTATATCGTATTGTTCACATACACCGGCCACGTTACGTAACGTAAATACATAGTAAAGGTCAATTAATACTATACGGAGTGTCAACGTCACGTTATACGGATCGGCACCATCACGTTAAAATATCTAATCATGTATTTATATCGTATTGTTCACATACACTGGCCACGTTACGTAATGTCAACATCACGTAAATACATGGTTAAGTTTTTTTTGACGTGCGATTTGTAATGTGACGTTGTCGTTCCGTATAGTGTGAATCGACCTTTAGGGTTATGCACACTTTCTGTAATAGTAGATTTTAAAATAATTTTTTTGTTCTTTTTGGAAATTTTTTAAAAGTAGAGTTGTCAGATTGTTACAGTAAACGCCTTATTTATTAAACATTTAAGCATAATTAGAATAAAATTAAAAATATACTGACAGTACGTCAGTATGTGATGGTATGAATTGCGTTACAAAAAGTAATGACATAATGATGATTTTAGGTAAAATTTTAATGTTAAAGTTCAATATTTTAACAACAACATTATATTTTTTAGAAAAAACAAATTATACATATTTATATTAATGTTAATTAAAATTTACTAAATTTTAGGCCTAATTTTCACAATGGTAATCTAACATTAATATTACATGGTAAATATTTAACTTTTTTTTGAAGTAGACAATCTAAAATATACTAATAAATTAACATATCATATACTTAGACAACAAAACAAATTTCAATCAATTGTCATTTAGAAAATAATTTTGGCACCATTTAAATTTTAATCATAGGCAATTCAATTAGGGAGCTTAAGGATACTCAGAAATTTTAGTTTGAAAATTAATCTCTCCTAAGGTACAACGTTACATTATAAATAATTTACAAAGGGGCTTATTTTGTGTAACTTATCCAAAAGCCCTCTAAATTTTCAAAATGTACCTATGACTATAATACTTTAGGTTATATTTTACACAATGAATATTAAAAATAATATTTATGAACTTAAAAAAATTGTATAACATAACATTACATTTTCTATGTATTGACAAAATTTTAATACAATTGGGTGATACATAAATTCGGAAAGAAGTAGACCAATGGTAAATTAAAAACAAAATTATTAGAAAATGCTTCTGGAGATACAATTTTTTCGTACTAGTAAAATTTGAATAATAAAATTCTTACATATATTATCTCAATAATATAATGGTTTTGAACAAAGAGATATGGTCTGGAAATGCAATACTTATTTTAAATAAACATTTGACAAATTATTTGTTATGTTTATAATAAAATAAAATATAAAAAGCATAATCGTTAAATTAAAATACGGTTTCGAATTTTGTAATTTTTTTAAATACTTTTAATAATCGTACCTATTTATAGTAATAAATTTGATGTCCTTTTTATTACAATATATGCCTTAGAGATCACGAATTTATAAAACTTTCTGTATAACAAATCTAAAGTGAATATCTATGAGTCACTTTTACAATAGTCGATTGAGGAACAAATGTTCAATAATTATTGAATATCAATGATTGATAATCTAAAATATTGACATCCTTAATCATTCAGATTGGTAATTCGTTATGTGTTATTATATCACATAAAAAATTACTAATAGAATGATATTCTATTATGAAATATAAATTGTATTATTAATTTATAGAAAGATTATAAAAGATAAAAAATCATACTACTGTAAAATAAAATAATTATATTAATTTACAATAACTATTGTTTTCCAGTTTTTTATTCCATTAAAATTTTTATTTAATTACAATTTAGTTCATCATTAATATGGTCATTAATATATGGTTAATACATCTTCACAACCCTTATTTTCTTCAGTCTGTCAATGAATACGTTAATTGAAATAATAATATTAAAATTAAGTTTGCATAATTTGAAATTATAAAAATCACATAATTTACAACAGAAAAATATTGAATTTCAAAAAAAAAAATTATTTTTTTAATAAATTATAAAATGGAAATTTACATGATATAACTATATATATAGAATTTAAAACTTTAAGAATTTAATAACGTTTTTAAGGTTAAAATAAATATATACTTTAATGTAACCACCACTTTTATTATTATATTTGGATAAATGACTAAAATTATGGAATTTAGGAGCTTAATAATCATAAGTGAACAAAAAATTTGAAAATAACTTAAACATTTTATTAAAAAAAAATAATAATTACGGTTAAAAATATTAAAAATACGCATAAATAAATTTGATGATAAACCTGGAGCTAAAAGTATTTATTTTTCTTGTGCATTGTTCATTTGAATTTTTAATTCGACTTAATTTTTTGATTATTCATAATGTGATTAGATAATGATATGATAATTGAAAACTAATTTTATCATTAATAAACATTTATAACTCAAATTTTCAATTATACTTTTACTTTTAAAATTTAAAATAATAACAATCTCATTATTATTGTTATATATAATGCATAAAAAAAATATGTAATATTTATTTTATTGAATAATAAATACAATTATTTCTACTTAGCGAGTTTTTTAAACTACTTTTGCTATGTATACTTACACATTCATACCGTAAAACATCACAGGGTTTTTAGTGGGTGGAGGTGGTGGTGTTTGATTAACAGAAGACATGTTATTATGATCAACAAAGTCTTGCGTAGCATGCTTATTTCGAGTCGGCGAAGTCTGTTTGAGCATTGGCTGCTGTTGTTGATTATGATGATGGTGTTGATGATCTTGAATTGCAGTTGACGATTGTTGCATGGATGATGGTGGTGGTGGAGGTAACTGATAATAACGAGTTGTGGATATTGCTGCTGTCTGAGTTCCTCTAGCAATGACAAACTGCTGACCATGTTGAATACGCGCATGGCCATGTTGATGAACAATGTATTCATTTGGAGGCCGAATAACAGGATGACCCGCGGCCGCGGCTGCTGCTGCCGCAGCAGCCGTAGTTAATAGATGGACTTGTACAGGCCCAACTGCTTGGTATGGAACTCTGATAGTTTGATGTTGACCGTGAGTTACTCTTATTATTGATCGTTGAGCTGTAGCTGCAGGATATGATGGTGGTGGAGGTCGTTCTCCTTGTGCCCGTGTCCTAACTACAGTTAATGGCTGAATGGGTGAATATCCTCTAGGAACAAAATCAGGTGCACTATCAATATTGGAATAGTAAATAGGCCTTATACCTGGACGCTGCTGTGGTGGTTGATTTTTTATCATTATTTGAGCTGAGAATCCTGGCCTAATACCGTGTACTTCAGGTCTTCTATTAAATCCATAATCATCGTTCTCATCATCTTCATCTTCAGCGGCCGATGCTGTACCGGATGATGTTCCGCTAGATGGTAGATACCTCTTCCGTATTTTATCTAACCGGCTAGTATCCTGTTGAACGAGTTGGACAGATTCTTCATGTCTTTGGCCAGAGATTGATGGCTGATGTTGTGTACCAACTACGACATCTGGCTGAGGAGGACAGGATGACTGGTGCTGAGGTAATGGCTCTTGAATGTTAGCTTGTGAAGGGTTTTGTACATTGCCACTAACGCATGCTGTAGCTAAAGAGGTCAAAAAAGGTTTGCTAGACGAATTCGATCGTACAGGTGGTGGCGGTGGTGGTTGTTTCCCACTTGCAGTTACATGCCCATCACATAAATCCAGGGAATCTGTTTTATAAGATGGTTGTTGCTGTTTTTGTTTTTCTTGTTGATTTAAATCATGTTGTTTAGATTCACTACTATTACCTATCACTTCTGACAATTTAGTGTATATAGGCATATGTGTAGTTGCAGATGCCGACTCGCATTGAATTAGAACTGTTGTGTACGGCGAATCTTGGTGTTGATCTATTTTTTTAGTTAAATCTTCTTGATCATCATCACTCTCGCAAGTTAATCTTCGAATCTTTTCAATAAGAGATATTTCTTTACTGTCACTATAGTTTTTCTTTTTTCCAGACATATTTCGCCGCAGCGTGCTACGTTCAATAGTTCGTCGGATAAGGTTACTTGAAGTACCGGTGTCATCGTCATCATCACTTTGAGATTCCTTATATCCATTTAACGAACGACTATCAAAAGCTCTTAACGAATCTTCAGTTATTAAGTATTTGTTCAATAACCGCGCATCGTCGGTGTCTCTGATGCGCGTCGGTGGGCACACAAATTTGGTACTTGGAAACAGTTGACGAACAGCTGAATTAGGATTTTGATTATTGTATATCATAGTATTGTTGCCACATCTAATTATCACATATCCTTCATCTGGAGGCAAAGTAGAATTTACTGCAGTCACATTTGATTGTTCATTCTCTTCTGATTTTGTCGATGTCATTAAAGTTGTTGTTTTAGTTGGTTCACTACATGTGTCATGATCACTGTCTTTAGATGAATTTCTAGTTTCTTGAACAATTTGTCTTTCCGTTACCGTAGTCATAGTAATTGTTTCTACTATGCACCTTGGTTGAGTTGTATTCGAGCTTGTATCAGAAGTAGTTTTTGATTGAGCACTAGCCGTTGTCACTATCGGCTGTAACGTCTCTTCTTCTGTAAAAAATACAATTACGTAAGCATTAAATAATATAATATAGGTAACATTAATATTTTTTAAATCTTTCATTAATATTTAAAAAAATACCAAAAAATTTAGTTAACTCTTCATTTAATTAACATTATAATTTAAAAAAATTTTTTTTTGTATACTGGACAACATAACTTCGTTTCTACTGATTTTGGCCAATTTTAAAGTGTTTTGAATAACAAATTGAACATTTTCATGCAAAAAATTTTTATGTGCTTTTAAAAATTAAACTATGTAGATATGAATCAACAGTATTTTTAGTAATAAATCATAGAAAAACATTTATTGACTTACTGGATAAAGTTATCGACGTTAATTCAGGCCGACTTTTTGTATCTTCAGTTGAGTAAGATGACGGAATAGTACCCATTGTATAACATGAAGGATTAGAATGTGAATTGTAACAATGATTCACCACATCGGAGTTGTACGTCGCTGTTAACTCGTCATCTGTAATAAAATAAACTTTTAAAATATATTATGTCACTAAAAATGAGGTTTTAATCGAGAATTTGACATAAAAACAGTATACCAACTAATAATAAGATTTTTAAATTAATTATTTCTACTGTTTAATGATAAATAGTACAACATAGACAGATGGTAATAGAAGTGTGGTGTACCGGAAAAAGAATATACAAAAATAGAAAACCCGGTGGTGGAAATTGAAAGGGGAAAATGAAAAAGAGTTTATGAAGACGGTAAAAGAGTGATCGGTGTGAAATGTCGAGGGAGATATAAATGATAAGTGGAATAGATTTGCTAGTTATGTAAAGAATACTGCAAAGAAGATTGTTGATTAGAATAGGAGTAGAATGCAGGAAACAAAAAAACCTGGTGGTGGGATGAGGACGTTCAAAAAATCATAGAAAGTAAGAAAAAGCAAATAAAAGTATTGCAGAAGAGCAATAGAAGAGAAGATTGGATGGAGTATAAACGCTTATGCAAAGAAGCTATGTGTATAGTAAGTAAGGCGAAGTTCAAGAGGTATGATGAGTTGTATGATAAGCGAGGAACAAAAGGAAGGCGAGAAAGAAATCAATAGAATCACAAAAGTAAGAAAGAAAAGATCTGAAGATTATCATTATACAAGGTGTATAAAAAGTATTGATAATAAGGTACTCTCGAGTGATGATGATGTGAAAAAAGGTGGAAAGAGTATTTTAAAAAATTACTGAATGAGGAGTACCCAAAACAGACATTAGAGTAGAGGATATCTCGTGGAATGAGATATTTAATTGGCGAGATAGAGTTATGGGAGGCTGTGGCATCAATTAAAAAGAATAAAACAGTAAAACTAGATAAAGTGCCGGTAGAAGTATGGAAATTATTAGGCGGTGTTGACATAAGGCGGTTGAAGGAACTTTTAAATAAAATTTTATTAGAAGATGCTTTAAGCTCTTAATTATTCTCTATAGTGATGAATGAAATTACTAGAGAAATACAAGGAGAGGTGCCGCGGTGCATGTTGTTTGCTAACGATATAGTGTTAATAGGAGAAAATAGGGAGGAAATTAATCAAACGCTAGAAGTGTGGAGATCAGTTCTTGAAGAAAAGGGTTTAAGAATAAGTAGAAGTAAGACAGAGTATATAGAGTACGAGTTTGACAAAGGAGAACACGAGGTAGGTGAAATAAGGAGATCAGTGACAATAGGCGAGGACGTGATTTTAGAGGTGGAAAGTTTTAAGTATTTAGGGTCAGTTGTGCTAAAAAGTGGTGTTATTGACGAGGTTGTAAGACGAATGATTAAGTGCGGGTGGTTGAAGTGGAGAGAAGCGTCTGGCGTCTTATGTGATAAAAGAATTTCAACGAGACTGAAAGGTAAATTTTACAAGACTGTTATAAGGCCAGCTATGATGTATAGTTCAGAGTGTTGGGCGGTTGATAAGAAAGTAGAGCAGAGAATGAGTGTAGCAGAGATAAAAATGCTTAGATGGATGAGTGGAGTGACTAGAGAAGATAAGGAACGGCATATAGGAAGGAGTATAATTGTTGTGTCAATCTTGGATAAGATGAGAGAAAAAAGACTAAGATGGTTTGGTCATGTTATGAGAAGAAAACAATCGGAAGCTGTAAGAACAGTTATAGAAATGAATGTTGAAGGAAGAAGAGGTAGAGGAAGACCAAAAAAGTGATGGAAGGATGCTATTGAATGCGATATGAGGACAGCTGATGTACGCGTAGTTGATATGGAAGATCGTGTCAAGTTGAAGTTTAGGATAAGGGTGGCTGACCCCAAGTATTTGCGATTAAGGCGAAGAAGAAGAATATTTACATCATAAGCGGATATTGATGAAGGCTAAATAGGTATTAGTACTCAAAAATAAAAAAAAACTTACATTTACTTTTATATAAAAATGTAAAAAATATTATTCTATTTACACCTACAGTAAAATTTTTCCGTAACAATTAAATTAAAAACGTTCTTCTTCAACATAATTTTTTTTTTAATTATTTACTAAAATTGAATTAATGAAATTGTATTTTAAACATGAAATTGCCTATGTTTTTCATTTAAAAGGAGTGACTTTACTAATTTGATGATAACACAAGGTACCAATTTTTTCTAATTAGTGGTGTCATTTAAAAATTTTATTAAAGAAAAAAGTTCTATTACGACGGAAGATTAATTATAGACCTAATGTGACCAATTTAATTGTTATTAATAAGTATAAATTATTGATAAATGATGTTGATTATATATATTTAGGATGGTTCTTATTTTTCAAACTCAATTTGTTTATGGCAGTACCCTTTAGATTAGTTAAGTCATATAAGAAAGTAATGTAAGCAAAATTTGGAAGGTTTTAATCAACCCCTTCTATTGCCGCATTGGGTTTAAATATGACAATTGAGGGTAGTTTTCTTTTTTGAGTTTAACTCGATAAGTATTACACTACGTTAAATATATTTAGAACATTAATTATAGAACTTATTATTTATTGCCTATAAAAAAGGTATTAACAAAAATTTTTATATATCAATTATACTTTGAGAAAAATAATATAACATGATAAATTTCATGAAAAGTTGACATAATACTTTTACAAAAATTTTTTTTTTAATTAGTATTTCATAAACATAATATCACGTAAAAATTATTTAATAAGTCAACTATTTAATTGTTTAAGACTAAAAAAAAATAAAAAACTTGTATACTATAAAAACATAATTATTTTAAGACTCGCACTTTATAATGTCCACTTAAGATCAGCATTTGACTTCTAATATGGTTTTTTTAGTTTTTCTCTATCACTTTGTGCATATTTCTTTCGGTAATCTTGTACGGTCTAAACATTTAAATTAATTTATTGAATTTAGATCAAAATGAAAAAGATTAAATTTTTTATCTGTAATAACAACTGTTTTTGTTCTTCGTCTCTAGTAAATTTTTTATTATTTTCTTCTATTATCTTGATTCCCCTCTCTGCTGTGTTATTTAATATTTTCAATGACTTTATTATTTCCTTTCTTATTTTATAATCTTCCTGATATTTCCAGTAAGCTGAATCAACGCTTAAAAAATTTGTTAAAATTTCAAACCGCTTAAACATTCCAATTGATTTGAAATTTATCAACTATGTTGGTAGTTCTTTTTTAATAAAATTGGGGATATCATGTAATGTAATCAACGATTTTTTTTTTAGATCAGTTTCTTCCTCATTTTGTTTCGTATTATAATCTATACGGTCATCAAACAAGGAAAAAATAATACTTTTTGGATTTAAATACCATAAATGATTAATTTTTTTTTTTAAAGCCACGTCTGCAATTTTCTTATTTTGAGATTTATAAGCTTCTAATTTTCCAAAAAATAGTATATCATTGAGGGGAACTTCTATTGCGTTGATAAAAGACAACGAAGCTTGAATGCAACATTTGACCACAAAACAACAAGTATCTTTTAAGGATGTTTCTTCTCTACTGTTTAGTATAAATTGTTTTTTAAATAAAAATATTTTTCATCAATACATTGCTTCAGCCATCTATTTGGCTGATTGACATAGACCAGATTGTCGAAAAGTAGTTTCCATTATAGGAACACAGCCTACAAATATAATTACGAATTCAAAAAATTCTTGATAATCATCTCCAGTGAGATCTTAGTAATTTTATTTTTCATATATAAAATTAATTAATTAGCTTCATCTTCTATAATATTCTATATCTAAAGTTTAATTATAGCGTTTTAAAAAAATATTATTAGAACCATTTTTATATGCAAAATTTTATGCATTTACAATCACTTATTAAATATATTACAATAACTGTAAAAAACAAATAATGCTAAATTTTGAAAGTTTATTATATTTTATTACTTTTCTCAAAGTATAATACTTATTATTATTATACTATATAGTTAAACTCAAAAAAGAAAAAACTACCCTCAATTGTCATATTTCAACCCCAATGCTGCAACAGAAGGTGTTGAGTAAAACCTTACAAATTTTGTCTGCATTATTTACTTATTCGACTGAACTAATCTAGAGAATACTCTATAAAAATTTTTTTAAAAAATGTCTACCTATATAAATAAGCACAATTTATGTTATTATATATAAATACACTATTCAAATTAATCAAGCTTTAAATCTTATATTGTATGACAAATATACTCTCATTTCTTTCAAAGTACAAGTTTATATACAAACATAATGAAATTACACAATTATTAAAATTATTATCATAAACTATTTTGATTCGGTAGTGATCAAAGTAAGTTCGATTATACTAATCTTCTTTAGTTGATAACAATTTCAGTACAATTACTATAGAAATTCTAATTTATCACAAGATATTGACTAGAATACATTTTTTTCAGAAGAGGGATAACAACTTACCTTTAATATTATGTATTGATAAACACAAAAATCTACATCATTTTTTTTAAATTATAATTATATTAATAATAGTAATTTAAAACTAAAAAAATTCTTAAAATATTTAACTCAAATAATTTCAAAAAAATTACTAAAAAATTGCGGATTTGTATTTTGGAAAAAATATTAATATCATCAACACTTAACACATACTAACTCGCTAATAAAAAAAAATTTCCTTATATACCCTTATAATGGACCTTATAACCTTGTAACGTTATCACTAAGTAATATTATAATATATTATAGTTTATACAAGTTCAATAATGAATTTTTCAGTCCCAATTACTTAAATTGTCCTTATTTTTAAACATTTCTATTGTCTCCCTTATATTTAGTTCTTTAAAATTATTTATGTTTTTAATTAGCTTCATGGTTTTAATGAAGTAATTATGTGTCAATAAATTTTCAACCACAGGAGATTTATCAACTTCTTAATTTTTAATGTTTCTTAAGTATTCTTTAAACCTGACCCTTATATATTTTTTTCTTTGACCTATATAACATTTAATAAAATTTTCACATTGTATTTTATAAATGTCCAATTTTCTCGATTTCGATTTACTTTTAAATGTTACTAAAGTAATACCAAATATTTTAAAAATTCTGGCTAGTCAATTCGAGATGACTAGATAGTATAAAATTAACGTTTTAATTACTTTTTATTCCCCGCGCTAGTGAATGTACTAGCTGTCTTCCTTTATTTATTCCATTGTTGTATTCTGACTAATTTTGAAATTACGTTTTCGATATTTTCATTAAATTTAACTTTTCTCTTATAACACCTAATTCTTTATCAAAATCTATTTTATTAATAGGAATATTAACTAATCAGTATACAATTTTATTAAAATCTGGCATTTAGTGTTGCCAACTGTGGTTAGTAACAATGATTATCATTAACAACACTTAAAACTTATTTAATTTCTTTTTTGTCAACTAATTCACGTTATTGCAATATAGTCATTTAAAAAATTTGTTAGAACTCGAAATAACTGAGAGTGCTAAGTACTTCCTAGCATTTCTTTAAGTGCGCTTATTAACAGGTATAATAACACTTAAAAATAAGGGTTGATCTTACCACATATGTGATGGTCGTATGATGAGGGCACGTGTCTAGGACAACCATCTTTGTAACCATCAGGAGGGCTTAATGTAGCTGGTTGCTCTTCATACGGATCGAATAGTAATCTACGAGTGTTTTGATCGTCAACCCAGGGTTGAAAACACGTCGAGTCACCACAACTACACGGTTGCTGTGACCAAAAGTCAAAGTCTTCTTCATCAAAATCACAATCATCGTCTCGGATTACAATTACGTAATCTGACTCAAAAAATGTATTTTTACTTTCGTTAAACTGTACGCGTCTTTTGTTTTTTGATCCAGATGCTTTACGACTAGTCCCCGTTCGTTTTAAAGCTGACTTTTTTGGCTTTGCTTCACTGCTACCATTAAACTGTAATGTTTGTTGATGACCATCATCTGATACACTTTGATTTGGTTCTGTATCTTTCTTTTTCTTTTGTTTCATCGTCGACGTCGTCGTCGTCGTTGATTCCACAGTCACGCATCAACGATAGTCAATCTTGTTCGCGAACGGATTAAACCAATCACAGATCTATCTTCACTCAAATCATTTTTACCAAGTACCCATCATTTCACAGAAAATTTATTTGGGTTAACTTGAATCCGTTTATTTATACACATTTGTAAACTCAACTAAAAAGCAAAGTATAGACATATTTTTTAAGTGCATGAAAAAAACTATATAAAATTAGCACTCAACAACAAAAAACGATTATTATACCATTAGTTTATAAAGCCTAAAACATCAACGTGTATGAGCGAACTTAAACGACAGCAGCAATCAGATGGCATACAGGTCGATAATACCGAGCACTCTTGTTAGGAACGCCGCGACGTTACCGCTTCCACCCCAAATTTCCTCATCTGACCCAAACAACCGAGACGGTAGCGACTGGTAGCGCTTTAGCCGCACCCTTCCAAGCATTGCTATCTCATGTATCTAGAATACTTTAAACATTACTTGAAAAATGATTGAAAAAATTAAAACAAAAATAATTTCCACATGCAAGGTATTTAAAAACAATAAGTTTGTTACCTATTAAAAAAATAAGTTAAGGTTAAACGGAAAAAATAATTACAATATACTAACACTAACGGAATTCATAATAATCAAAAACGGTTGAGTTGAAAATGAATTTCAAATGCAGTGTAAATCAAAAGATGAATAATATCAAATATTGGTACACATGTTGAAGATAATTAGAGTTAAAGGAAATCATAACAGAAAATTTTTTTACTGATTTTATTAATGACTGTCATGTGAGGATAAATCACTTTTGTGTAAATTAACTGAAATTTTACTTCAAAATAAAAGGGAACCTCTGTTTAATTTTCATTTCTCTAAAATGTATTTTATAGAATAATAATCGCATAACTTTTCTAATTAAAGTAGGCCTTATTTTTTAAACTATAAATTTTTTCCTAATTTCTTCTTTAAAATTTTGTTTGCAAGAACATTCTGATTTATGAAAAAAAAAGAAATAAGCAAATTATATTAATTATACTAAAATCAGAAATACTCTTACCATTGTACCATTGAATACATACACAAATCATAAAAACAATTTTTGTATGGTAGTAATTTACGTACACAATTTTAAAATAATTTTATAAAATATAGGTTTTTCAAGTTATGAATAAATATAAAATAACGAAAAACTTGTTATATATAAATTTAAAATCATGTTTAAAAGAGTTTAGCAAGCTTGATACAAATAATCAGGGGATTTTCACCACATAGCCAAGGACCATTTAACATAAACTAGATTTTAAAGCTCTTGCTAATTTTTTTTAGTGAAGTAAAATTATAAATAAATGTATTCTAACTTTGCAATAACACTTAGTTATTAGTATTTCGTTATACAGAGGGATGATGACTACTTACTTGAAAAATCGAACGCTCTGTATATGTTAATAATTGTGACAAAAATTAAAAATGACAACATAACCTAAACACATGTAAAATTGTAAAAATAATTTTTAATTTTTAATGTATTAATGTTATAAATAAACATAAGCGCAATTAGTAAAAAAAAATTAAGAGTGCTAAATGTAATTTTCCTCTCTTTTTATGTAATAATAAATGAAATTTTTCAAAATTTCTAGGAACATTAAGTAATTAAAACAACTTTTTTTTTCACTGATACATAAAGAAGAAACCATGTTTCATATTTAAATTTTTGAATATAGTATAATACTATAATTTATATTTATTTGACTATATTATAATCAGAAGGTATCTGTACATTACATAAATAAGAATTATTTGTTTAGTTTTCATTTTGACATAAATTCATCATTCTTTTATCAATATCAAATATTTTGTGAAACATAAAACAGACATCGTACAGTTAAAAATAAAGTGATAGCTGTTATTGTTTATTAAATAAATAAATATTCTAATAATAAAACATGAATGTTAGTGTTATTTTTATTTTTTATGAACTTTAATATTTATTATTTGTTATTATTAAAAAAAATTTAATTTTACATAAATAAGGTTATAGTTGTTGACTATAATCATGTATAAATATGTATCTTGATAAATTAAAAAGAAAGTTAAATTTATTAAACAAATTGTCAGTTAATATACGGTCAACAAACCGTTTATCGATAATACAATTGAAGTGTAGTAAAATCAACAAGTTATTGGTTATAAATTAATTGTTAATATCATCAAAATAATTTATAATATTATAAGTAATGATTGTTATAATTCGTCTAATTATATCAAAAAATCTCGTTATTTTTTTACCTAAAATATTACGATTGCTGTTATTAATAAAATTATTATTATTTTTACCAGGATTTACGTTTGCATAAAAAATGAAATAATTTAATTGATTGGAATAGACATGCGCAAATTTTGCTTCGGGATATGCTACAAAAGTATAAGTGGTACTTTAAGGTAGTGATTTTTTTTTTTTATCAATTTAGGCTTTTAATGAGTGGTTAATTTAGACTGAGTAAAAAGACTGAACAAGTTAGTTATTTTTTCTATCTGTTTTAATATTTTACATTATTAATGAAAAAAAATTAAATATCTAAAATACCTTAAATGATATTTAAACAATGGCTCCCGAAACCGGAGGGGCAAAATTATTATGCCCCCACAACCGATAGAATCTGACAAAAAAACCATACTTAATTATTTAGCTATTCCAATTTTAAGATTAAAAAAAACGCAGCAGGAGTTCATGGCACAGTATGGACCTGGCATAGTTAAGACAAGTATAGATGATATTTGACAGTGATTAAAATCATTATCATAAGAAACGCTTCGATACAAATCTGTCGATAGTGATTAATTTTAAGAAATTAATAGATTATACTAAAAACAAAATTATCTCCTATTTTTTGTTCTACTTCGACTGCCATTTGCACATAGAAAATAAATCGTCGTTACAAATTTTTTTTTTTTGAACTTCTAGTACATAAAATAAGCTTTATTTTAATAAATTTAAAAGACGCACATTTTCAAAAATTAAGTTGAAAAAGTTATAAATTTTATACAAATTTTCTTAACTTTGAAGAGCAGAATAATCAAAATAAGTATAAATTTATATTTAATGTAAGTTAGAATCATGTAAATTTTATATTTATTGGTGAACTCATTACTATGGCAAACTCTTTTAAGGTATTTTAAAATAAACAAAAAATATATATATAATTTGAACACAAAAATACCATGTTTTTTAACTTGCATAAAAAAGATAGGAAGTGGATAGCTTTGATTTGATATATGTATTAAGAATGACATATGTTTCCGGAACATTTTAAAAAATTATGTTGTTTAAGTTTTACTTTTTATAAAAAGTAAATATAAAAAAAAAAGGTATGTATAATGTATTTAGAAAAAGAATTTGTGTTGTTCCAAACATTTTTCAAGAAGTTATAGAAATTTAAAGTTGAAAATATAAAATCAAAAATTTTAACACAAAAATAACATAGTTTTAACTAAAGCAGCCATTTGTACGTACATAAAAAGTCGTTAAAATTTTTAGTAATACAAAAAATAAGCTTTAATTTACCATATATTTAAAGGACATAGTATTTTCGAAACATTTTCAAAAGTTAAGTTGAATTTTGTAAAAAAGTTGCTATTTTGAATCTCCCCTATGGGCAGGTATATAGGGTTAGATTTTCAAAAAATGTATACTAAATGAAATGAAATACTTATGGTATGTTTCGTTAATTTTTAAAAATGTTATGACTGTTTTAAGAAAAAAAACCCAGCACAGGGGGGTCGCGGCACAGTTGTGACGTGGTATAGTTGGATCAAATATAATGATATCTGACAGTGATTAAAATCACTATCAAAAATAAACGCTTCGATGCAAATCTTTAGACGNTACCTTTTATTTCTTAATTAAAAAGTATATTGTATTAATAAGACAGCACGACAAAATTTGTGTCATATAATGCTTATGGCTAATTTACCGATAGGTTATTTGTCACTAATTTCGAACAAAAATAGGTGAGCTTGAATCTTATTTTTTCGACCTAATAAAATTTGAAATAGTTAAATATTGTAGCCAAATATTAAATAAGAAAAATATATTTTGACCTTATACTGCGGACATGTTAGCATCATTACAGCTATTACTGAACTGTATTGATTCATGCATTTTTCAAGAAGTTATAGAAATTTAAAGTTGAAAATATAAAATCAAAAATTTTAACACAAAAATAACATAGTTTTAACTAAAGCAGCCATTTGTACGTACATAAAAAGTCGTTAAAATTTTTAGTAATACAAAAAATAAGCTTTAATTTACCATATATTTAAAGGACATAGTATTTTCGAAACATTTTCAAAAGTTAAGTTGAATTTTGTAAAAAAGTTGCTATTTTGAATCTCCCCTATGGGCAGGTATATAGGGTTAGATTTTCAAAAAATGTATACTAAATGAAATGAAATACTTATGGTATGTATATAAAAAATTTTTTTTTGATTCGTTAATTTTTTAAAATGTTATGACTGTTTTAAGAAAAAAAAGTTAAAACAAGTTGAAAATTATCGATTTTAAAAATAGTAATTTCTATGGGGGCTTTTTACTGTTTACAAGGAACGAGGAAAAATTTACTATTTTTGAAGATAATGTCTTCAACTAGATATGATTTTTGGTCTTTAAACGTATCGTTGAGAAAAGTTGGTCTAGTGATAGCTCAGAAAAGAATTGACAGACACAAAAAATAACAATAAATAAACACATCATAATAAAATTAATACCTTTTATTTCTTAATTAAAAAGTATATTGTATTAATAAGACAGCACGACAAAATTTGTGTCATATAATGCTTATGGCTAATTTACCGATAGGTTATTTGTCACTAATTTCGAACAAAAATAGGTGAGCTTGAATCTTATTTTTTCGACCTAATAAAATTTGAAATAGTTAAATATTGTAGCCAAATATTAAATAAGAAAAATATATTTTGACCTTATACTGCGGACATGTTAGCATCATTACAGCTATTACTGAACTGTATTGATTCATGCATTTTTCAAGAAGTTATAGAAATTTAAAGTTGAAAATATAAAATCAAAAATTTTAACACAAAAATAACATAGTTTTAACTAAAGCAGCCATTTGTACGTACATAAAAAGTCGTTAAAATTTTTAGTAATACAAAAAATAAGCTTTAATTTACCATATATTTAAAGGACATAGTATTTTCGAAACATTTTCAAAAGTTAAGTTGAATTTTGTAAAAAAGTTGCTATTTTGAATCTCCCCTATGGGCAGGTATATAGGGTTAGATTTTCAAAAAATGTATACTAAATGAAATGAAATACTTATGGTATGTATATAAAA